GTAGTAGTAGTCGTAGTAGTCGTCTAGCAGCAACAGCACAAGTAGTAGTAGCTGTTCTCCTAGTACTAGGTCTACTTTTTCCATGGAAGGAGGCAAAAAGAGTTTGCAAATTGCTACTACGGTTGGTGGTACAAGTAATGGTGGTGCAGTAATAAGTAGCAGTAGCAGCAGTAGTAGGTAGTGTTAGTTGTAGTTGTAGTTGTGGCAGTGGGAGTAGTAGCAGTAGCTTCCGCAGGAGGAGGAGGAGTAGTAGCAGAAGGAGGAGGCGCGGGAGTAGTAGGGAACCAGGAGTAGGAGCAGCGTAAGGAATGCTTCTTGCTATTACCCGTGACAGTCGTGATGTTGGCACAGAGGATAACTGCTGGAATCAGAGTGCTGGTCAAGGATCAGTGCTTACAATCTGAATGGCCGGGTTGTTTCCAGGGTTCAGGTTGTCAATTGTTGCTCTGCTGAGTTTGCTGTTGATGCACCGCAGCCAGCCAAAGCATTGCGAAGGAAATGTTCTCAAATAAACTGCATTCTGAGACTTCAATATGTCTTGTGTTCTCTGTCAAATACTGAGCTGTGTTGGATCCCGGAAAAGGGACGGCATTGGGTTCGTCATCAACATTGGGCCACTTTCAATGTTTGAATATTTGCTTCACGTATGGCAGGCCTCATCTGTGCATGTTGCGGTAAGGCTGCTATTTCTGGCTTGCCAGGCCTGCAGACAGGAATGTCCTTAGCCGCGACGCGTGCATCCCGCCTGGCTCGATTGTTGGCAAACGCCCTGAGCTCAGAGTGGTTCAAGACATGCGACGTTGCGCAGTGTCTACCTCAAAGACTGGCCAGCCAACTGATAAAGACATTTTAGCTTAAACACAAGGTCTGTTACACGCACTTGTCTCCACGAGTTCAAGGGGATTTGTCTTAGTGTCTTAGTCTTGGCTTTTGTGCAAATTAGGATTTGAGACGCTCATGCGAGGCAATGTTATCATCATGCCAAGACGCAATAGAGATGCAATCTGCCTGTGAAGTTGGAGCTGGAGGAGGTCCATACAGACCATTATGAATCTATGACTGCACGTGTTTTTGCCATATCGAGGATTTAAAGTAATCCTGGTGCTGTCACTGCCCTCACACGGAAAGGGCTGCCACTGTTGTTGTTTCAGCTGCGACAGCTGCTTCTGCAGCAGCTTGCTTCATGCAATTCATCATCAGCACTGTGAGGAGTTGTAGTTGTAGTAATTGGGGCTCTCGTTGCTGTTGCTGTTGCTGCTGCTGGTAGTGCGGGTGGTGGTGGTTTTGGGGGCGATGGTGTTGGTAGTTTTGCCGTGCTGCTGGGGTACCAGTGCTACTGGTACTACCCGTGCTCCAGTTCTGGTAGCACCAATATCCATACTGGCATTAATACGAAGCCGTGTTATCATGAGCCCAAGGATTTGGGAAGTGCCTTGGCGCTCAAGTCTCACAGCATTTGGGGTCCTCACTTTTTGCTGAAATTTTTGATTACAAGTTTGAATAATGTGGGGCCTGTCTTTTTTTTTCGAGGATTTGGGGTCCCAAGCTTAGGGCATCAAGTTTCAAGTTCAGGCCCCTATCTATTTTTTTGCATAGGCTTTCGTCTCTTTCTAGCTGAGGATTTTGGGACCTCCTCTGACGAACTAAAAAAGTTCTCAGCTGGCTGCAAGGCTGCGATTTCAATAGCACCTTTTGTCATTAAGCCTCTCGTCACCTTTCGACACCCCTGTAAATTACAATGAGCTCTACGTTTGCACCCCGCAACTCAGGTCAAACACATGCGATTTTGCAAATGGGCCCAACCCTTGATTCCCACCCAAAACACAACCGTGTTTTCTTAGTCTGTCGGATTGCGAAGACGCGAAAAGGTCCGAAATTCTTCCATGCAGTTTCCACGACCTCCGCTAGGCAACCAAGTCTGAAATCTTGCGTTTCACAGGGTATTGCTACTGCTGCCCCCTGGATTTCATCATCATCATCATCATCATCATGGTTATCTTGTGGCTTACCGCTGGCAAGACTTGGAAGGTCACACCATTGGCAGATGATACCGAAGGCTCTGGCTCTGAGAAGCTCTTGGATCTGCGAGCGCGGGAGGAGGAGCCAATTGGAGCCTGACGCATTGCATTCAATATTGTTCAGTAGTTCTGGGCAAGGTCTACCAAACGAAGCGATGCGAATCTTTGAAGCTAATTGCTTTGGGGATGGGCATTCCTCTTAGGGGCCAGCTCGCTTAATCAGCAATCCAGCGCGCTGCAGTTGTTTCTGCGCTTGCTGGCTCCGGGGCTACCCTTAAGATATCTTAAGATCCCCATATATCCCATATTCTATCTACTTCAGGGGGACTTTAAACCCTAAAGCCTAAACCCCATTATAATAGTTTCCATTTTCTTTTCCATTATCCCAGTTTAACCCCAATATTAAGGGGGACTATACATGAATTAAATTGATTGGACGGTGCGGCAGGCCAGAAAGCTCCCTCGCCTGGGTTCTTGCCAAAACAACCCATCAGACAGACTCCTCCGCATTCCAATGCCATGAACTATGTATCATTTTTATTATTCTTATCATTACTAATCGTATTCTACAATTATTATTGTTCTGATTACTATTATTCGTCTTCTTTCTACTTGTACTGCTATTGAACAGGCCCTGGCCAAAGCTCAAAACTGTTCCCTCGCCACTCTGCCAAAAACACGTCCCGATGCAAAGTCAGTCCGGTTGTGAAATGAAGCATGTCTGATGGGCCGCAGCTTTTACAGCGCAAGAAGGGATGAAAGCCTCTTTCCCTTACTGAACCTGCCTTGGGCTTAGACAAGTCTATGGTGTGAATCATCCGCGGGCATATCATGCCCTGCCTCATTTGCAGCCAAGAGCCTAACTTGATGTTATGTGCTCAGGTTCATACCGACATCTTGGATTGGCATGCCGCTCCAACTAGATGAGGATGCCTGGCATAAGATTCTGTGGGGCTCTGTCACTCAGCTGTCAAAGTAAGTGATGCGGCTGCAAATCCCTTTCGCCTCTATGCTGATTCGAGCGGCGTGCAAAGTGCGAATCTCCTTGAGGTCTACGTTGTGGGAATCATTGGATCACTATGGGTCTATGGTATACAGCAGGAGCGTATCATGTCGGTTCCGTATGGGGACGACATGTTCAAGACCTCTGTGTGGCGAAACTGCAATGGAAGGCGTTTGATGCATGCAGACAGCCTGGAGTAGACATTCAACTTGCTTATCCGAAGGGTGGCAGCATGGCAATCTTAAGACCCATTGCTTGCAAGGTTTCTCGTCTTCTGTAACCGATTCTGTGCCATATGGCAGCTCGTCTTTTTTCTGACAAGTGCTGGGGCCTTCTTGGTACATCCTGGCATGTTCTATCTCGCGCATGAACTTGCATAGACGTGAATACTAGTTTTTCAGTCTGTTGCGCGAACGAGGTTTGCCTTTGCCATGACGAAGATCCGTGGGGAGGAGTGGCAGCTAAAGGCCCCTCTGGTCTCATACTTGATTGTGCGCCTTGGCTTGCAGACAGACGGCCGTGAGTCACAGTGCCTGTAGGCTGTAAGCTGGCTGCCGAGCTGAGGTCTTTATCCAATGTCTTTGCATCCACGTGCCAGTACGAAGCTTTGAAGTATGTGCTCTGGAAACATTGTTCCCAACAAGCCGTTAAAAATGGCCCATGGACCATGCCAGGTGTCATTCCCCGTTCAGATGCTTGGGAAAAGCTTCAAGATGATGCCTGTCATGCTGTGGGGCATGGTCATCTCGCCACTCGAATCAAACCCTGTCTGTATAGGTTAGTAGAACCTCGGTAGTTGCATCCCTCCCCGTGATCTGGTGCAAGTTGCTCTTGCCTACTGAATACTGTCAAGGTCCAAGGCATACACAGTCAAGGCAAGGGAATGCTGGGGTCATCCTGCACATGACAGCAGTTCAGAAAGTCTGGCATGACGGCACCTCGCAGAGGAGTGGGCTGTCGCCTTCTTCGTGACGTGGGGTGTGACGCAGTTCTTGCTGACTGGACCTATTGCAACTGAATCGGGTGAGAATGATGACCACACAAGCAACAGTGTCAAAGGCCGGGAGATGTTTCAAACAAAGCTGGAGCGCAGTGATCAAGATCAAGAATGCCATAGAACGCCTCCATGCTTGGCTTGTCTAATGACGGAACAAGGGTTGAGATAAAAGATCAAGGAAGCAACATCTTAATAGCATTCTCCTGGCTGTATTCTACTGATTGCTAGCTCGTGCAGTCGGCAGCAAAAACTGCAGCAATCGCAGCAACAGCGGCAGCAGGAAAAATTACATACCGGCTCTGCCATCACATCATGGCCATGGCCATGACTACCATCGCTGCGACCACGGCCACTGCCGCCGCCGCCGTTTGCACCACGACTAACACCACAACAGCGAGCTCAAGCAACAACACTGCTGTCTCCACTACAACCAAAGCAACAACACCATCGTCAACAACATCAATCAGCGATGACAAGAAGAAGCAGAACAAAAGTGGCAGTGCGCTGCACGACAACAGCAATGAAGATGAACACTGCGAGGAGTACAATGTCATCAGTACTGCCAACTACTGTTGCAGCCCTTCGCTTTCTTTGCACTTCTTCTGCTAATATTACCAGCTGTACTGCCAGAGCATGCCACAGCGCTACTACAGTAGCGCTGGTGGTGCTGCTGCTGGCAGTGGTGCTGTTGTTGGTGGTGGGGTGCTAGTGAAAGTAGCAGAACTGGTCATAGTAGTCATGGCCGTAGTCATCTCATACTTAAATCGCATCACTACCGCGACTGTCGCCTCGGGGGTGAGGGGCAGGTTTACAGTGGAGCGAAGTAGAAGTCATGCAAGGCTGAAGGCATGAAGAGCAAGTAGGTCTTCCAAGCATGAAAGTGCTGGCTTTGCTGGATGGCTTTGATAAGTTTTGTGCGTTGTAGGAGGAAAGGCATAATCTTTGTTGAAGTTGGAGTTTGTGTGACTTTACTTTTGCAATGAAGGGGGGGGGAGGAAGACGGCAGGTTGGAGGGGGAGGAGGGGGAAGAGGAGGGGGGAGGGAGGAACGGCCGTGGTGGAATGCCCAGAAAACAGAACAAACAACCGATCTGAGTTGAATTCTGGTGGTGCGCGCTGGGAGGGGGTTTACAACTACTCACTTAATGATGGTCTTAGATCTGAACGCGTAGGAGGAGTAGTACTGGTCATCACGGTGGAAGTACTGCTATTGTACCTGTGCTACCATACGAATTATTGTATTGCTGCTGCTGACTTACATTGAACCTGTGGACGGAATAAGTGCGGTCACAGCATGCGCAAGTCTGCCTGAATGCAGTGCAGATCTTGCACAGGCCTTTTGCTCCTGGTGCTTTTCCTTGCGCTGGATGGCATCACTTCACCAATGCAAGAGAAGCTTTTCAAGGAATATCAGCTCTCCAAGCCGCATGCCTAATGCTGGCCTTTGGTTTACCTAGAGGTTCGCTCTCTCTCTCTCTCTCTTTCTCTTTCTTTTCCGTCTCTCCTTGGCCTGCACTTCTGATGACCTTGCCCTTGCCCGGGTGAGGCATCTGGCGGGTCCATGCTTGAGAGAGGACATGTTGGCATAAGGTACAACCAGCTGTTGTGGGTGAACACCTTCTCAGCCATCGTGTCAATGACCACACTCTTGAGCGAATGCCTCAGCTCAGACCGTGGCATCATGCATGCAGCTGCTTGAAGGTATGGACGAAGTCTTGCTTAATTTAATTCATCGTTTACAACACCTCAGCCTGAAGCTTGTGCTGAGCTAGCGGCGGGTTGTCGGATGCCCTCGGCTTCATCCGCATGCACCCGCCCTTGCTTGGGGATGCGATGACCCTCAGCGTGTCACAGGCTCCCATCCACGGAATTGCGCTTAAGTTTGGGCTCATAGGATTGCGTGGGTACTCTAGACTCCCTGCAGGTTGCAAGCCAATGGTTCATTTACTCGTTCCCAGGATGCCAAGAACATGTTGTTAGTTCTTTCACATTCAGGGCAAGTCTGCTCACTTGAATGCTAACAATCCCAGGCAGATCAAGGACTTCGGCGCCTTGGTCTTCGCTGCCACGATGAATGTTCGACAGCTGTGCCTGGCATTGTAAATGATATCTAGTTCCATGCTTGCGGAAGTTTGCTTATGTCGGAACACGCCCTTTGTCTCAGGGTGTCAATCATTACTTCCTATATCAAGTACGGCCACTTCATAACCGGCCTGCAAGTGCTTGCGCTTGGTTTCGTCTTTGCGGCGTTGTTCTACAAGAGCCACCTGCCTCCGGTTCAGAATTTGTGGAATTCGAATGAATCCGCTAGATGACCCTGCCCAAGCATTCATCAAAGGTTATGATGGCCTCACGTCTGAGACTCCAGACAAGAAGGCTGAGAAGGCTCCTCTTGTACCCAAGGAAGGCAGCTTGACTGTTCAGATGACATCCGAAAACCAAACATGTACCCATGGTGACTAAGTAGGATGCATGATCACGAATGCATGATTCGGTAGACACAGTGGGGCAGTGGCACAGAACAGATTTCTCAGGCATACAGAACGACGCGGACGAGGCCTCCAAGGCCCTGGCGCGATTCAAAAATATTCAGCTCAACAACCTTTAAGGGACCACTGAGACAGTACTGACAATTGTTAGCTTTCTGTGTACACCAGTGTAAACAGCATGAAGAGCGGCCATCATGCACTCATGTTCTAGATAGGTGCTTGGTCAGACCGGCGCTATAGAATTGATAGCTGGTCTAGACTCCTCGACATTGCTCGACCACGGCGCAGGACTCAAAGCTGTCCGCTTGAAGCTCGGGCAGCTCGCTCGAGGGCTGCCATGCTCGCATTGTGTCGGTGGGAGCTCCGCCGATTGCAAGTATTATGGGTTATGACTCATGACCCTTCCCATGTTTCACGCGGCAGTGGGCTACCGAAGCGCGCGCCGTAATATGCTAGATCCAGCAGTCACAAGCGCTACGTGGAGCTGCCCATGCTCTCGATTCAAGAGGTTGCACTAGATTTGCCTGGGCTAAAACCTGCGAAGATGTTAGGGGGAGGCTCTCTGATCTCTCAGCATTGACCTTGCATGGTGGTGAGTGGAGAAAGCATAGGCTCCTCTTACGCAGGGCATAGGCTCCTCTACGTATGAGCGATGGGTACTGGCAGGAGATCATCGAGGAGTGCATCCTCAATGATGATGCGCAGGAGCAACAGTGATACCGGGTCGTTGACTTAATACCGCGTCCCAAACCATGGCTACATGGCCGTCGCGCTTGGGTTTTGCTTATGCTTTCATGATGATGAAAATCGCGTTCCTTGCTACGTTTCGCGCGGGTTTTCGGTCCCAAAACCCTTTGGCAGGCATGCTGCACTGGGGGTTTTGGTTTGTTGGGCTGAATATTGAATTTTGCCTGCCCGGGGTGCTTTTCGTGGATCCGGCCATCCATCGCTGCGGGCTGCCCTTTCCAGGGCGGCGTGTGGCGGCACCAAGCAGTGCTGTTCAGTGATCTCGGTGCTCCTGGTTGCTTGCTAAGGCTATCCCTGCTGGCACGCCTGTAGGTCGTTGAAGAACGCTGGTAATTGGTATTCCTTTTTGCAGGAGGAGCTCATGTCGCTGGCTCGCACGCGCATAAGCATGGTGAAAGGTTTCGAACATCCCATATTTGGATTGCCAGACTGAGTGCATGTGTACAGTCATGCTTGACAACTCGTTGCTGAAGTAGGCTTTCTCTTGAGGCCTGCATTTAGCAAGTCTTCCGCGATGCGGAACCCGCACTTGGCGTGGAAGTGATGACAGCAAAGTTCAGGTATGTTCCCTGATAGTCCTTCGCCCATGGCCACGAAACTTACAATGCAAAATAACTTTTGCGAAAGGGCTGCAATGGGAGGTGGCAAGTCCTACGCTAAAGTCGTGGCCTGTTGATCGGTTTTTGGGACAAAGAGTCTAGATCTCAACAGAAAGCCCTTTGCATGACTTTCAGTTTCAGTCAGCTTTGGTCAGTCTGTGTATGGATGCGCTGTCAAGCAGTAATTTGCATAGCGGGTCATCTGGTCCAGAGGGTTAGAGCAAAATGGCATTTGCAGGGTAGTGTAGAATCGAAGCGTGAGCCAACTGTGAAGTGTAGTGAGACTCAAGTTCGATTAGACTAGACCTTCATTCAGGAGGAGTTGGCGCGGTTTTCTGCTGGTGCCTGGAGAAAGGCGCGGCGACATGAGAGCAGCTTGCCAAGCATCAAATCCGTATGTGGGCCTCAGTCAGTGTCGCTGCAGCTGGCATGTGCCAGTGGCGAATGTTGAAGAACAAAACCTTCCCCGTCCCCGACTGGCCCCATAGCCTCTGAGGCAACGAGTTCCACTCTACACGATGTTGACCACAGCCATGAATGTTATCCAAGATGCCAGTCCCTTCATAATGCCAGTAGAAGAGCTTCAAAACGTAAGCCCTAGCAGTGAAGTAGGAGTCCTTGAAACGAGCATAGCTACGCGCGGGCCCGTGATGCAACGTTTCAGTTCTCCGATGCATTGAAATGAGGAGGGCTCCGTCACGTCTTCTTGGTATCTTGTGTGGATGACACTCCACTGCTCCCCTTATCACAAATTATTGGCCACTGTACTTCTGACTCAACAGAGCTGGTGCGGCTACATTGTAAGTGGAAGCGTTTGTTGGATCCAATTGCAGGTAGGGAATTCCCGCACTGGTGGTGACATAGGAATGGCGACCGGGGTCCTGCGAACGTTCATTGTCCAGCTTTGAAAGCCACTGCCGCTGATATCTTAGCGCTTATCCAAGCCGAGGCTGAACCAAGGACCAGGACACACTTACAAATTGCAACAAGCTCTACAGAGCTCTCAAAGCATCTCGAAATCATCCCCCTGTGTCACTCGAGAGGGACTCCCAAAACCAATACACCTGGAATCCCTAAGAGCATCCCCAGTTCGGAAGAAGTCCCTTGGTGACTATGTTTGCAGGCTTCTGCTTCAAATTTATTTGGGGGTTTCGGGAGCCAAACGCAAAATTTTTAACCCAACCCCCCGCATGTTCTGCCGCCAAGGTAGTGCCACAGACGACGCTGCACATGAAGAAGAGCGTGTCGCACCATCAGACACGTCAGTACCTGATGCCAGCAAAGGTTCGACTGAGCTTGCTGCGGAAGAGGATAATGTCGGAGATGATGTTCTTGACGGGTTGCCCACAGGTGAGAATGGGCTGCAGGCACTTGCAGATGATGGAACTCAGGCAGTTGATCGAGCAGGGCTAGACGCTTCACCGCGCGTGTCGGAGAACAATCCGGCAAGGGTCTTCAGTGCTGAGGAGCCATTCGTGCAGCAAACAGTGGCGCACAAAGAGGCGCTGATGGACGCACAAGACGATCCATGGCAGGTGTTGGAAGACCAACAGGCTATGGCGTGGGCTGCTGGAAGTGCGGAAACAAAACCATCGTCGGATGTGGGAGAGGATCCATGGCAGGTGCTGGAAGACCAGAAGGCTATGGCGTGGGCTGCTGGAACTGCGGAAGCAGATTCATCGCTGGATGTGGGAGAGGATCCATGGCAGGTTTTGGAAGACCAGAAGGCTATGGCGTGGGCCGCTGGAACTGCGAAAACAGACTCATCGCCGGATGTGGGAGAGGATCCATGGCAGGTGTTGGAAGACCAACAGGCTATGGCGTGGGCTGCTGGAAGTGCGGAAACAAAACCATCGTCGGATGTGGGAGAGGATCCATGGCAGGTGTTGGAAGACCAGAAGGCTATGGCGTGGGCCGCTGGAACTGCGGAAGCATATTCATCGCCGGATGCAGGAGAGGATCCATGGCAGGTGTTGGAAGACCAGAAGGCTATGGCGTGGGCCGCTGGAACTGCGGAAACAGACTCATCGCCGGATGCAGGAGGGGATCCATGGCAGGTGTTGGAAGACCAGAAGGCTATGGCGTGGGCCGCTGGAACTGCGGAAACAGACTCATCGCCGGATGCAGGAGAGGATCCATGGCAGGTGCTGGAAGACCAAAAGGCTATGGCTTGGGCTGCTGGAACTGCGGAAGCAGATTCATCGCCGGATGCAGGAGAGGATCCATGGCAGGTGTTGGAAGACCAAAAGGCTATGGCTTGGGCTGCTGGAACTGCGGAAGCAGATTCATCGCCGGATGCAGGTGAGGATCCATGGCAGGTGTTGGAAGGCCGTGTGGCCGCCACTTGGGAAGACGCAAGCGCGTGGACGCAGCAGGATGACGTGAGAACAAACGAATGGTCCGACACGGAATCTGCATCCTCATTCGGCTCAGAGGAAGATGCGTGGCTGGACGGCGATGATCCGTGGCGTCTGCAGGACGAGCGAGAGCAGAAGCAACGCGCTGAGCTCATGTTGCTGGCATCGTCAAAGAAGCCTGAAGTCACAGAGCTGCCGAAGCAGCCTTTGCCAGATGAACTGCCCATTGAAGCTTTGCGCAAGGAAATCCTGCAGGCCGTGCGATCTGAGCGTGTCACCATTCTTGTTGGTGCAACGGGCTGTGGCAAGTCCACACGGCTTCCTCAGTTCTTGATGAACGAGCCACGAGCACGGGTGCTGGTAACTCAACCACGCCGTGTAGCAGCGGTTGAGATTGCACGACGGGTTGCTTCTGAGCGAGGCGAGGAGATAGGCCAGAATGTGGGCTATCGTATCTCGGGGGAGACGATTCTTGGCTCCGGCAAACTGCAGTTTGCCACCATAGGCGGGCAGCCTAAAAAACTGCCAAAAGCATGAACGGAAAGTGTGGTCGTCAAGTTAGTTAGCTTCTGCTTTGCCCTGCAAGGCTACGTCTTAAGCTGGTTCCTCGCCAAGCCTGAGTCTTTTGCCTGCAAGTAAAGAAGAATTGCGATTTTCCGCTTTGCTTGCTGGCGCCAGGCACTTCGGCAGCTTCACCCATGTGGTCATAGATGAGGCCGGGCTGTGGTGATTTGTCAGAGATGCTGCTCAACTACCCTGGCTTCAACTCAAGCCCAAATCCTGCTACTGAGCTAACTCTTCAAATCTGCCATGTCAAGGGACTGCTGGATCAAAAGTGAAAATCATGCACTCATGCTGCTAGCCAGACACGATTGGCGAACATAATTTTGCGATCAACATCAAGAGACTGAAATGGCTGAATGTTACATTCGTGAAGGTTCACGAGAGAGCTGCGGATATGGAGATGTTCCTCTTGCTCACCAAGCTCTTGATGTACTTCTTCCGGCTGCCGAAGGCACGAGCCTTGCATACGCGCAACTTCCCCCCACACGACTACAAGCGGTGTCGGGGGTGCCTAGGATGGTGCAAGGTAATGACTTCCCAGTAGTAGAGTAAGTATACTCAAAGCCCCTTTCCAGCTCTCTGTGGGCTCACTGGTATTGGTGTTAGTGCTAATAAACTCCAAGGTGAGTCACCAGCTTAATCCAAAGGGTCCTGGCACATGAGGTTGTCTTGATGTCCGCCACCCTTCAGCCGGAGGAATTCAGAGTTTGGCTCAGTTTGAAGCAGACAAGATCGGTGTGTCTGAAATGCTGTCCTTTGGGAATCCTGGAGGGATTGCACAAGGAGTAGTTGTCGGCATTGTACAGGGACAGGACTGGCATACGAGCTACTGTCAGTATTAGCCGGACCCTTGACAGTGGCCATAGGGGTCCCTCTTGCAGTTCAGTATAGTATAGTCTCTAATGTAGATTCTATAAAGAACCCATGCCCATTAAACTATGCAGGAAATATTGGTGTTGTAACTCACATCAGGATATTTCATGACTCTGGGTTTTTACGAGAAGGGGCTACCCAACCATGGCACGTAAGGTGTTTGGCACGCCTTTGATTCTCGAGAAATATCCCAGATGATGTAGCTTGGTCAGATATTTGGCTGAGGCAACTACTTCTCAGACTTTGTAGATGCTGGTGAATCCATCTCTGTGCTGGACCCTCTGGTTCGCAAAGGAGATCTGCGGAGAATGCAGTACACATCATTTCACAACATGCCAATGCCATGCATGAAAGGTTAGTGGGGAATGAGGGAATGTAGTAAAGTGAGTTTTTCAATGTTGCAGGTGCAACTTACATCGGCCGTGCAAAGCAGCACACCAAAGGCAGCGTGTGCTCTGAGGCCTGGGAGAACCTTTCCAGTGCAGGAGATCTTCCTGGACTGACTGTGGCTCATGTTTCAGAAACTCCTGTGTGATAGCAGTTCATGCATTTCAGCATGTGACATCGTGCTTTGCTGCCCGGCCGACGCATTTGCATGGAGCAGACCAGCACGGGTTGCCTAATGAGCTGAGGGTCTAGTCACCATGGGCCGCAGACATAACCTCTTGTTGCATGAGTTCGTATGACATACCGCAGTGACGCAGTGGCCTGCGCATATAACAAACATCTACAGGACCTATAGGACTGAGAAGGCAGCTGACAATCGAACAAGTTTAGCAGAGGAATTGAGGAGATGCGAAATTTGCACTCCGTGGCAACCTGCATCTCATGGCTGGGATTGCTGCTTCTGGGTTTGGCAGTCGCCGACGACTGCATTGTGAACCAGTCCAGCTTGGCCATTACCGCTGGTGCTTGGGCAGTCAAAGTGCAGGATGACCTGGCATACGTCACGGGCTACCTTTCTAATGCGCTGGCAATTGTTAACATATCAGATCATACCAACTTAACTATGGTAGGTTATGTACAAAGTGATGACCTACTCCTGGGCCCTACCGGCTTGACCCTTGCGGGCAACTTGGCCTTCGTGGCACTGGAGCTCTCAACACTGGCGGTCGTGAATGTTTCGGACCCGGAAAGGCCGGAAGTAATTGGTACGGTAGACGAGTCCTCTGAATATCCATATGCGTATGGCGTGGCAACAGATGGCAATTTTGTATATACGCTTTCATATGATGCAGCTACACTACTGGTGATAAATGTGTCTACCCCTAGCCAGCCGCAAGTTATTGGCAAAGTTACTGACATGCGACTGAAGGGTGCGGGTGACCTGCTAATCGTTGGCGACATTGCATGGGTGGTGTCTGCTGACTTGCCGGGTGTTGCCATGGTAAACATTTCTATGCCCACGGATCCTTTCATCATCACCGCCATCCAAGATGCAGTTTATTTGGACGGAGCCTACGGCATCGCAGTTCGGGGTGACCTGGCCTATGTTGTCAGCTACTACTCCCACTCCTTGGCCATTCTCAATGTGTCCGATCCACATGAGCCATCATTGCTGGGTGCTCTGGCTGACACAAAAAATCTATACGGAGCCTATTCGATCACAATCGAAGGTGACCAAGCCTATGTGCCTTGCTTAGATGGCGAGTCTGTTGCTGTTGTCAACATTTCAGTCCCCAGCTGGCCTAAAATAGACTGTGTCATACCTGAAGTGGTGGGTGCTAGATATGCATCCCGGGCCAATGGCTACACCTTCATACCAAGCTATGATTCCAATTCGCTGCTAGCTTTTGCAAGCCCCCCTACCGGAATGGAGGGGTTGATTCTTGCTGCTCCAGTGCTTCTGCCTTAAGGGCATCACTTGGAGCGATGCCGTGAGAAAGGAGCTGTCTTGGCCGTTGCCGAAAGGGTCAGCTCCAAGCGGTACCAGGCCTCTGAAACAGGCCTCTTTCAGGCCAGACACTGCCTGCTCTGCGGCTTGCGCCGGTGTCTGACAGTGTGCAAATGCGTGGAAACTGATTTAAAAACGTTCCCGAAGACAGTATGCCATTGTGCGCACTGTCAAGGTGATGCCTCCTCAATGCCAGGACGATTTGGTGTCCGAGTATCAGGATCTGCTGCCAGGCACCGTGTACTCGTTGGTGGAGGCTGGCATATCTGCACAGAATACATAGATTTCTGTTCAATACTAGTACGTGCACTATTTTGGCAGACCGCTGCTGAACAGTTCGAGCAAGCTTGGGAGGCCTGTACCGCTGGAAAGGTAATGGCCCTTGACCAATCCCGGTGCACAGGACGGCCAGCTCAACAGTCCGTCAGTCCTCCCAGGCCTGCCAGAACTGGTCCATGGCCTAGATGCAGAGCACACGTGAGTGCTCACATAGGCTGAGGGGCTCCGGTTGCCAGAGATTCTCGCTTCAGGCAGTGCAGCTCGTCCCGTACTTCGCCAAAGCGAACTCCACGCTGCTGGTGTTCATGCCTGGGTGCGGAGGGGCCTTCTGGCGGATGTGGGGTTTGGTGCTGTGCTGCCCTGTCAGGTTGGTGGAGCTGAGCAATTTATCCGCTCTGTTCACCCCTGAGGCCCGGTGTGTGAAGAGGCAGAACAAGTCCTCAACCTGATCCTCAGTTTCTGGTCAAACTTCACAGGCCTTGAAAGCCTTTCCGACCTCAAATCCGTGGCCGGGCTGCAGTAGAGCCGTTTGCCGGAATCTTTTTCAATAGCCGTTCTTGCGATGTGTGTGGTGTCTGCCAGGGGCACGCCGTCCAGCTACCAGGTCTTCGTCTTGCACTCCATCGTCAGCGCCATAGCTTTGCTTCTGCAGACGGAGCTGGTTCACTGATCGCTTCAGGTGCCACGCTCAGAGCAGGAGCTGGTCTTCAGAGCACCGACAGGTGCAATGGCAGAGGCCTTGGCTCAATTTCATGCTGGAAGTCGCAGCTTGAGGTGGTAAGTGCCATATTGTTCTGGCCTCCAACATTGCAGAGTCATCCCTCACCTTGCCGGGGACTTATAGGTTGCCTATGGGGGCCTTGAAAGCTCCTCCAAGTAGCTGATGCAGAATTGCTTGTCTCATCCTTAGCAAAGCGGGCGCAAGCTGGAGCCTTGGCTCAAAGACATTCTCCAGAAAAGCAACACAAGAACATGGTACTCACCAGGTGAGTAGTAATTCATGGAATCCGCCCTAGTCCTACTCATCCTACTCGCAGCCGTGGTTCAGTCTGAAACATTGAAATTTCACATCCCACCTGGTCATGGCATGGCGGCGAGCCGTGTGCGGCTAAAGGTGGCTGATGCAGCCCGTGCCCCAAACACGCACACATACTCAACGTCGCTTTCTGTTGTGTTTTCATTGGTGAGGTCCGCGCCGCTACTCAAGTTTGAGAACGAACAGCCCAAGCTGTGCAATGAAGGTCTTGCCGCCCTTTGGTGGCAGGAGTGTAGCAAGCAGCAATGGAGGCTGCCTGTGCGTCTTGCTTGCTGCAGGTGTTGGAGGCTCTCCCGGGACCTGTTTGTCCCATTGCCTTCGTCGGCGACGGCCGCAGTGGAAAGTCTTTCTTAGCATCCAAGATAGCTGCTCAGCAGAATTGTGCACTTTTCCACGACACAAGTCGGAGATAATCTGAGGGAGGGGTCAGGAGGTGCTGGGGTAGGATGTCACAGCCCAGGTTGGCGAAGGCACCTTCAAAGACGATGACTCGGAGGATGCTGTCACTGAAGGCAAATCTTCTTTCAAGAAACTTTTGACGGATTTGAGAAGCTCCTTCCGAGGCATCGATGTCGCTGCCCTGTCCTGCCATCCTGGACATCTGCTTGTTCTCGACTGCGAGGGTGGCAATAACGCCATGTCCAAGAGTCATTCCATTGTAACTGTGGCTCCTCGGCGGGCGACATGCTGTGCGTTGCTTTGCGCATGCTGGTTTGAGGGGAATGTCTGTCTGACTGAGGTTGGTGCTCTCTTTGCAACCGCTTTAGTCTTCGTTACCGACGGCAAGGCCTCAGAAGCTGCCGTTGAGGCGCTGGGACGTATGCTCGAGGCCAGACATGAGCACAAAGCGCAGGGTATACAACACCAAAAGGCCCATGCAATCACATGCAGGAGCGGGCCCTGATCAAATGCGATGGCACAGGCACCTTGCAGGTGCAACTACCGTCCTTTGATTCCACCTCTGGGGTGCTCTCCTCTCCTGCGCTGGAGGCGCAATCCCTTCTCTTCGTAGTCAATCAGAACAGGCTGGTGGCTCCGACGTTGGTTTTGACATTTCTTGCTAGCTTGTCAGAGGCTAAGATATGGGGAAGACGCCCTCGAGAAGATCCTAGCCGCCGACCATGGAGAAGAGAGAAAGGACCAGACAACGTTGTGACAACCAAGGCAGTCAGAAGGAAACCGCTTACTGTAGTAGCAAGTCCAGGAAATTCGGACTCTGATCAGCAATGCCTATCCAGAGAACCGACGACAATTCTTTACCATCCCAGTGGACAACAAGAGAGACTTCGAGGACACCCGGCAACCCTTGCAGAGTTGCTCTGAACCGCATCAGGTACGAAGCGCCCAAAAGGGGCGCGGTATCCGCACTTTCCAGCATTGTTTACGAGGAGAAGTGGGAAGCATTCCATGCTGCAATGCGAAATGCCGCTGTTCCACTGAAAATGGGCAAGCTGTGGATGACCGGCGCGCAGGTCCGGATATTAATTTGCCTGTGCTGCTTTGCACCTCATTGTCGGTGCAGGTTGTGCACATGCTCCGCCGCGTGGAAGAGGAGCTGCGAACGCGGGGCAAGGTTAGCTTGCCTTCTTTGCATCGGCACGTCATCTTGGACGGCTGGCTGAAGCCAACAGTCGGACAGGCTTGCACTGTGCTGCCGTGTCAGAATTCGCATTTCTTCCAACTCCAGCTCTAGGTGCTTCAATCCAGGATGGACAAGCTCCTAGAAAACTTCTCGCAGGCTGGAAACTGAAGTCCATGCATGCGCACGGCCCACTTTTCGTGTGCAAGGAGGAGTTTGCCACTCAAAAAGTTGGAAGCGTCGATGGAAGCTGCGCAGACTGCAAAAAATCGGCAGCTGGGTGGCTGGATCCAGACGTCGAAGAGTTCTTCTGCGAGGACCTGACCAACCTGACATGAGAAGATTCCTATTCTCCGAGCGCGCAAGGGGCCTTCGCACAGCCCGGTGCAGCCACAGCATCATCAAATGGCATGAAGTTAATGGGACGTTATGGGACTTGCTTGATTTGAGAGTTCTTTGCCGGGGCCGGGTTGCCGGGCCGCTTGCTCCAGTGCTGTTGGTTGTGAGGACTGCTGGCGCAAGTTCTCTCCGAAGGCTGTCCATACTCCATACAGGGGATTTCCCATATCGATGGTTTAGGGTTTAGCGTTATTACGCCAATAGTGGAGAATCAAGTGGAAAAGAACATAGATGGAACATGAAATGGAAGCTGGGGATTACATTAAAGTGATTAGGGTTTACAATAATTAGGGGTACCGATTCTAGGGTCAATAAGGACTATAGTGTATTGGGCCCCTATTTAGGGAAATACCATGCAGCTTGCTTCGATACATCGAAGGCATCTGAGATGTCCCAGTCTTGTGCAGAAGGTGAAGCCCTAAACCCTAGACCCTAAACAGTCTTGTGCGAGAAAAACAAACAGTCTTGTGCAGAAGGTGCTCAAATGCTGCTTTTGCAGCAACTTCCACCCTTGGATCCTTGGCCGGGTCGAACGGGTGACCAAGTGGCTCAACTTGAAGTTGGCTCAGCAAATGTTTAGTTTAGGGGTTTAGGGGTTTAGGGTGTTTAAGAACTTAGCATTAACTTAGCATCATTTGGACAGTTTGTTGCACTTTAAGCTGCAGGATGTGGCACTGCAATGACTGCCTGATGCAGTTGGGCGTTGAGATACCCGACGCAGAATCGTGAAAATGGGGCCAGCTTCAGCTTTGGGAATCCGCCGCGGTCTGTAGGTACCATCAAAGGTTTTTTTTTGTGGGGATGATTTCGGGATCTCACCTAAGTACAAGCAGTTCAGTGCTTCCCGTCCAAGGCCAAAGGTTACGGCAGTCATTGACTTTGCGCTGCGGAGGGAGCCGGCCAGTGGAGCATGTCCCTTCTGCGATCTACAGCCTTGACAGCCATTGGCAGGTCTATGATTCCAAGCAGGGCTTGACATGTTTGACAACCTCCTGGTGCTCCCAGGCATCTGCCAGGCAGAGGGGCCATACATGAGCTATACTATATAGTGCCCCTTAATAAGCCCTATAATAGTCCCCTAAATTATAATAGTTCCGTAGGAAATCCCTGTATAACCCTCTTTAAAGAGTCTAGGCTATGGCTCATATTCTCCCTATGTTCCATTTCATTTTCGATTGTCTTTTCCATTTGTTTTCCATTATTGGGGTAATATCTCTTAAGTCCTACATAACCCCGTAGAGTCCGTAGAACCCTATACAATAGTCCCCTATACAAATCCCTATTTAGCCCCCTATAACATAATATGGGGTGGTAAACCCTATATACCCCTATTCAACCTTATATAATCCGCTAAATAATCCCCTTTAAGGAGTTTAGACTATAGTAATAAGATGGGGTGCAGGCTTGAGCCTGAGCCTTAGCCGTACCTGGGCGATGTCTCCAGGCAAAGGTCCGGCCGTGCTGGACGCACCCAGTTGGCAGCTTGGTGCCGCATCGGACAAACCATAAGAATAATAGCAGTAATTATCATAGAAGTAAAAGTACAAAGACTAAGAGTGGTGATTAAGCTCATTGCGCTGCTAAACGTGAATTGGTTGCCTTCACCAAGGCCTGGCATTGCAATTCGGTTCGTTACGCGGCGTTTCTTTGAGGCCACAGCTGGGGTGGGAAGAGCTGCTTCTGGAGCACGCGCAACCATCTGCAGCTTCAGGAGCAGATGCCTGAGTTTGACACGCCAGAAATACTTCGAACTTCAACCTCGAAGCTCTTTCTGCGGGCGAAGAAGCTTTCGCAGGCTGGGGTACAGAGCCTCAGACGTAGGGTTGTGCCCACTCACTTCTTGTCCAGCCATGACAAGAAGCGGGAAGCAACAATAACGAAATGTTGGAGGAAAGCATATGTAATTTCTTGCAGCATCTAGCTACGCACCACCAGTCTGCGTGTGATGTCTGACGCTGTCAGGTGCTGCAAAACACCGCCGCAAGATTTTCGACGTCCGGATCTCAATAGTGCAATTCTTCCCGACGTTGTGCTCTCACTGAAAAATTCTATCGGCAGGGAGTGCCCATTGGATTTGAGCTCAGCGCGATCGCTCATAGGCCATTGCTGGGAGGTAATGATGTTGTGTCGACTTATCTTTTGCACGGATCTTCTGGTTGAACCCGAAACGAGATAGAAGCCCTCCAAACCTTTTGTTTTCTCTGATGGAGCTCTGAGGATGCTAGTCTGGGATGCACGCCCACGCCTGCAAAGTAACATCGGAAAGCATTGGTAATCTCAGGCGGTTTCTAGCAGCACGCCTCCGCGGCCAAGCACCTTCCTTGTGTAGCATTCCTTTCGCACTGCAGAGGCTCCCTGCCGCAACCTCCTAAAGCACTGCTGCTGCGAGCAGCTGCCATGACCTTATAGCTGTTTTGCCCAACTGGTGCTAATCCGAGTGAGTGCAACTTCTTGAGGTCAAGGAATTGGCGCAAATGGGCGCCATAGCAGCTCCAGATGAAAGTGCGGACATAACTTCCCTAGGCAGGCTGATTGGTTGTAAGCTGACGTGGCTGGATGCAACTTGAGATTTTGCTTGCGAAGCTTTATCTTTCCTCTCAATGATTTCGGACCGGGAGCTCTGCAAAAGTAGCACGCTTGACAGCATGGTCTGCAGCCATCGACACATTACACCTGCTTCAGCAGAAAGCACTGAACGCCGAAGAGACGCACTCATGCCCATTATGTCCGGGCAGCTGACATCAGCCATCAACCCAAAGTGCTTTTCAAGCTGCAGCATGGCGAGGTCGGCTAGGCTCTACCAGCTTGAGCCAGGGCTGGATTACGTCAGCTTCAGGGGTTTGCAGGGATAGTGACTTGCCTTGAACTCTGGCACGATGCTGTGGTATCAAGTTCCAATGACCCGGCAGCTCAGGAAAAGCTCGTTGCTGAAATCGAGACACTTCGCAACTCTGTCCGTGCTGGTGAAGATGAGGCAACGTGGCAAGCAAAGCATTGAGCACTCTGCAAGTATTGCAGCAATTACCCTCTGAGGCGTCCAATAGCCGAAAGGCCAGCTTAGAGGAAGCGCCGCTGAAGAGCCTGCAGGCGCCCAAGGCTGGCTCGGAACAGGTGCCTGCAGGGAATCTGGAGGCAGCCGACATCCCAAAGGCTACTTCAGAAGAGGCGCCTGCAGAGAGTCTGGAGGCAGCTGACATCCCAAAGGCTACTTCGGAAGAGTCGCCTGCAGAGAATCTGGAGGCAGCTGACATTCCAAAGGCTACTTCGGAAGAGGCGCCTGCAGAAAATCTGGAGGCAGCTGACATTCCAA